CTTCTGCTTGGTCAATTCGGCTGTTGAAACTTGTGCATGCTTCGCAAAGTTCTCATGTTGTGTTTTTCAACTCCATCAATTCACTTATATTCCTTTTTAATTTGTCCATTCTCATTAGCATTTCATTAAATCTTTTTTCAAGGTTCTTAGTTTCTTTGCATTGGGTTAGAACATGTTCTTTTAGTTGCCAGAAGTTTCTTACTACCCTCCTTCTGAAGTCTGATTCTGTCATTTCATCACATTCATTCTCCATCCAACCTTGTTCCCTTGCTGGTGAGGAGTTGTCATCCCTCGTAGGAGGAGAGGTATTCTGGTTCCGGGTGTTTTCATCCCTTTTGTGCTGGTTTCTTCCCATCTTCATGGATTTATCTTCCTGTTGTCTTTGTAGTTGCTGACTTTCAGATTGGGTCTCTGAGTGGATATTCTGTTTGTTGATGATGAAGTTATTTCTGTTTCTTAATTTTCCTTCTAACAGTCTGGCCCCTCTGCTGTAGGACTGCTGAGGTCCACTCCAGGCCCTGCTTGTCGGGGGATCACCTGCAGCAGCTGCAGAACAGTAAGGGTTGCTACCAGTTTCTTCTTCTGCTGTCTTTATCCCAGAAGGATACCCTCCAAATGTCAGTCTGATCTCTCCTTTATGAGGTGATTCTTTGGATATACGGGGGTCAGGGAGCTGCTTGAGGAGACAGTCTGTCCTTTATAGGGGCTCAAGTGCTGAGCTGTGAGCTCCGTTGTTCATTCAGAGGTGCTGGGCAGGTACGTTTAGGTCTGCTGCCGCAGAACTCATAAACTGCTTTTTGTTCCCAGGTGCTCTGTCCCAGGGAGTTAGGGCTTTATTTATGAGTTTCTGTTGTGCTGCTGCCTTTTTTTTTTTTTCAGGGCTGCCCTGCCCAGCAATGAGGCAGCCTGGTCACAGTCTGCCTGCAGAGGCTTTGCTGAGCTGCTGTGGGCTCCACCCTGCTGCTGAGTGAACTTCCCTGTAGTCTTGTTTATACAGGTGTAGTTAGAACTGCCTCAGCAATGGTGGCCCGCCTGCGTATTGGTGGACTCTCTCCCTAATGGCAGGTTGCCTTGGAAACGGTGGGTTGCCTTGGCAATGACAGGCAGCCTCAGCAATGGCGGGTTGCCTTGGCAGTGGCAGGCTGCCTCAGCAATGGCGTCCCTAGTGGTGAAGTGCCTTGGTAATGGCAGACGCCCCTCCCCCACAGAGCTGGACCGTCCCAGGTTCAGCTGCGCTTGCTGTGAAACTCTCAATCCAGATAGTTTCTGATTGTTGTTCTTTTGTGGGGGTGGGGCCAAGCCTGATCACCTGGCTCCCTGCCTCCGAGCCTTTTTTTTTTCCTTTTCTTAGTTGAACAGTCGACTCTATCCCTGTCGCCTTTTGAAACGGCGCTGGGATGTGTTTGATTTCCCATGCGGCGACTCACTGCACCGGCTTAAACAGCAGCGCTGAGATTCGTGGTGCTTTTTTTTTTTGCCCAGGAATCTACTGGCCTGGCTCCCTGTTCAGTCCCCTCTTTAATCAGATGTATGGGCGACTTCCCGGGTTTCCAATCACCAGCCAAAAGGGCACCCGGACCAGTGTATTTTGTACGGAGAACTGCTGGCCGGGGCGCTGACAAAGCAGCAGCGCGGGGCAAAGCTGCCGCGCCAACCAAAAGATCCGCTCAGGCCACAACAGCGGCGCTGGCGACCCGTGAGGCACCTCCGCCTGGGAATCTCCTGGTCCGTGGGCAATAAAAATGCAGCGTCCACTCACCCTCTGCGCTTTCTCTGGGAGCTGCAACTCCGAGCTGTTCCTAAACGGCCATCTTGGATCTTCCCCCTGAATTACTTATTAAAACCACACAGGAAGCAATCTAAATATTCTGTGATCAACTTCCACTGCACCCTATACACTTTTCTTTTATACTGCTTATCACATTTTAATTATTTGTTTGACAACTGTCTGACCACTAAATAGTAAGTTCCATGAGGGTAGGGCTGTCTCTGTCTAGATCTCTAGCACATAATATAGAAGAAAACTAAATAAATGTAGAAAAATGAGAGTGCCCATCCTTGAACTCCACTTTTCCTAAATCGAATCTAAGATCTTCTGACAGCTGCTCTGTCTGATGAGACTGCCTGACCAGCATAGTTTTCTTGCTATAGAAATCAATACATTCTAACTTCGTCTACTTATTTCAGACAGTAGAGTCTCATAACCTTTGGAAATAACTCTGTAAATTCATTAAATTTAATAACATTATACTTTATTTTTCTTAATAAAATACAAGTGAAGCTTGTAAATCCTTTAATCCATTTTACTGTGATTTAAAATGCCAAAATTACTAGTAAAAGAATAAGCGTGAGTAATGACAATTGGGCTTTTCTACCGAAATGGAAAAACATTAACATAGCGAATTTAATTTTTTAGAGGGAAACAAAAGAATTGCCCTCAAAAGCACTGTCAGAATGAACCCCCATTGAGCTGAAGTTTGTGATACCCAATAGCTAACCAAGGAGAGAGAGGTCAAGCAGGCTGGCAGGCTGGTTGATATATGGGTCTGAAATTCAGGAAAGAGATATAGGCTGGAGATACAAATCTAAAAATAATTAACAGGTACAGGATAGTAAAAGTCATAAGAAAGAAGATTGAAGGCTGAGCCCTGGACAGGTCAATGTGTGTGAAAGGTGGGAGATGAGGTGAAGCAAGGGAGATGCACTGTGGTGGATGGACTATGAAGGCAGGAGGAGAGGTCAGGTGAGTGATGGCATCCTGAAAGCCACATGAAGAAATTGTTATGTAAAAGAGGTTCCCATTGGTTCACGTATTGCTGACAGGTTAAATAAAATGAGGTCTAAGTAATTATGTCTAGATTTGTTAAAGTGAAAATCAGTAGAAACCTTGGGAGAAACCATTTTGGAGAAGTGGCAGGAGTACAAATTACTGGACCGAGTTTAAGAATAAACAGAAAGAAAATCTGAGTCCATGAATATAGACAGTTCTTTCCAGGGCATCATACCTGCAGCATGTTATTCCTCTGCCTTCAGAACAAATATTTCATTTTCTTGTGAAGAAATGACAGTATTTATTAGCCCTTACTACTTACTACATTAACAAAATAGTAGTTTTTTACTTACTGCCTAATGAAACTCTTCGAATAGAAAGAGTTGGACTTTGGACTCATTCAACTACAGCTTAAATCCTACCTTAAGCTCTGTCACTTACAGCTATTGCTTAGCCTTTCTGTGCCTCAATTTTCTTATCAATAAAATAAAGATAAAAAATAGTAGCTGTTTTCACAGAACATCACTGTCATGCTTACATGAGAATCTACACAAAGTATTTAGAACACTTCCTGGAACAAATAACACCACAATAACTGTTAGTTTTTTGTTTTGTTTTGTTTTTTGAGACAAGGTCGTGCTCTGTCTCACCCAGGCTGCAGTGCAGTGGCACCATCATAGCTCACTGCAGCCTTGAACTCCTGGGCCCAGGCAATCCTCCTGCACCAGCCTTCTGAGTAACTGACTAGAGGAACACACCATAATGCCTGGAGAACTTTTAAAATTTTTTAAGTAGAGATGAGATCTTACTTGCTATGTTGCCCGGGCCAGTCGCAAACTCCCAGTTCAAGTGATCCACCTGCCTCAGCCTCCCAGATGTTATGGTTACTATTACCACTACTTAACTAAAACATTTAATTCAGTAAAATGATACCATTGTATCTTCTTTGTAGGATGTCTAAAAATTAGAGGTAACACTGTATTCCAATTATTCTAAGATGCTCATTTCTCACATTTTAACATCTGTGACACTGGAATGCCATTTGCAATTCATAGTTTCTTATAATTGGTAGCATTTAAAAATTATTTTATTTATACATAAAATAAAGAAGCATCACACAATACATTGTGTCTTACATGAAGTAGAATGTGGTGTATTCAAAAGGTCCAGGCAGCTCTAGGCATGATTGGTACTTATCAAAAAGTTAGTTCTTAAAATACTACAAGGAAAGAGAGCTAAAAGAACAACACATGTTTAAAAACAAATTCTTACTTTGATTCGTAAAAAAGCTATAAGCCCAAGGAAACTTAGGATTCGAGTAAGTATGGTTCATTTTATTCAATACTCAGATTTATACAATATATGTCAATCACTTAATTGCCATGATTTATATGAATATTTAAGAAAGGTAAATTTTCAAATGAGCAGTTAAGGTTGTCTTTTACTATTTTCTACCCAGAAATGCTTTTGTTTGAAAGGAGGGAGGAAAAGCTTCAATGAGATTAAGTCCTAATACTGCAATTTTAAATCTCTCCATTTGCTCAGACAGGGCTGGAAAACATGAATTTTTTTCAGGATGGAAGAGTTCTGAAAGACAGTAGAATATGCCTGCTACCTAATAGATACTCAGGTACTGTTTGATTATTAAAAGGATTAAAAGAATGGATAAATACAGTTGAGGAATTCAACATTTTTGAATAAAACTCATAAAGTAAAGCAATACTTCTGCAAAAGTAATAATCATGTATATTTTCTATTTTTTATTTTTATAAGGACACAGTGAAAATAAATGATTACACTATATATTTTTGCACATATGTAATGAATCTACATGAAATGAAAACATACATTTATAATAAAATATATACGTAATAAAATCTTTACAAGCACAGATAAAAAGAGTCCCTTTACTGCTGAAGAGGCCAAAAGTTCACAGAAGACAGCAATCCACACAAAAATAATAATAAAAAACAGAAAGAAATTATTTTTATTTTTGAAAAATTTATACTCTTCCCTTCCCAAGTATTATTCCATTATAATGAACTTTCACTATAACTTTCATGCATACTCATTGCTAAGATCACAGATAAGAAAAAGGAAAAAACTTTGTATATTATACATATTTTTGGTGACACAAGATCACAGCCTGTGTGGATATATTATCAAATTGATTTTTTTCTCACTCAGTATACCAAAATACATCTTTGTAGATCAACATTCTTCAGTATCAATTGCTACCTTAAATAATCACTTATTATGCCATGTTATGCATGCATGAAATTTATAAAATCCATTCTATGGGGTCTTCCTAAAATTAAGCAGTGCAGAGAAAACCAAATTGCATATATGTCTGTTTCCTAAAGCTATTTTAGTATAATGGAATCGAGGAGTAACAAGCATATACTTTAAAAAAAATATATGGCATTTACCACCAAATTATCCATTTGAAAAGTCATCAGACTCTTACACTTTAAGCAGCAGTGTAAGCACTACTGCTCTTCATGACCACAAAATTGGGAATAGAAAACAATACTTCACTCCTCTTTTACCTTAAATTCCTTCTCTTCCCAGGAAAGCTAAGTATGTTTTCCTGTGTATATAGATAACATTTTAAAACCTTGATATTTTATTAGGTTTATATAAAATTTATAAACACATAAAGGGCTTGCCTTTCAAGAAAAATGGGTCTTCCTATCAAAGAACATGGGACTGTCTTCCTACTTCAAAATTTCCTTCTAAGATCCCTCAGTAAAGAACATATTTACATAGATGTACATTAATATAAAATGGATATTGGATTTCATCCAAAGAATTTTGAGCCTACTAAGAATATTTTATGAGTATTTATATTATGGGAATACTACTTCTCATTATGTACCTTTCTGTCATGTATATAACATCATGTTTTAAATGTATGTATTAAAAGTAAAATCCTGGACCAGTGCGGTGGCTCATGCCTGTAATCCCAGCAGTTTATGAGGCCAAGGCGGGCAGATCACTTGAGATCAGGAGCTCCAGACAAGCCTGGCTAAAACTGAAACACCATCTCCATTAAAAATACAAAAATTAGCAGGGCATGCTGGCCAGCACCTGTAGTCCCAGCTACTCGGGAGACTGAGGCCAGAGAATCGCTTGAACCCCAGAGGCAGAGGTTGCAGTGAGCGGAGATGCGCCTCCGCCCTCCAGCCTGGGCGACAGAGCGAACTCCGTCTCAAAATAATAATAATAATAATAATAATAATAATAATATAAAATTCTGTATATACTAATTAGTAAAATCACTAAAATTGTCTATAATGTGTTCTAGGCAGGACAGTATGAGTAAGAGGATGGGAAACCAGCTAACGTTTGGTTTGGTTTTTCTGATCATAGAGGTGACCAGCACCCTCTCCAAGGCGTCCCTGTCCCAGGGACTGCGGGGCCTGCACGGAAGGACTGGGGCACCTCCCTGACCCTCCCCTCCTTCAGCCACCCTGGGCTGGGAGCTCCCATCACCTGCTCCTGTGGTCGCCCTCCTTCAATGCAGGGCTCTTGAGCAGAAGGCACCGCTGCTCTGTGGCCGTGTCTCCTTGGCTGGCCATCCAGTGGATCCTGCCGAGCTCCCAATCTCCGCGTGCTCCCAGGAATCCAAGTAGATTCGGTCAGGGGTGGAGCCCAGGCCACCTGGCCCTTCTTGCTACTGGAGCCAAACAGCTACCCCGCAGCTGCCCTCCGCTTTTTCGCAGACTCCGGAGTCCAATCACTATAAGCCAAGCCCAGGCCATCACAGCCTTCAGCAGCAAAACCGCAGCTTCCGACCTCTCAGACCGAGTGAGCCAGGCAGAGCCTTATGCACGCGCCTGGGCACACCAGCCAGCCAGAGGCCCAGGAAGCCGCTCCCAGGCGGCGCGTGGCTGGCGCTGGGATTCTAGGGCTGGTATGCTCGAGCAGGCTGGGAGCGCTGGGGCCTTGGCGCTCTGCGGCCACCAGAGATCTGGCCTAGGAGGGGCTGGTTACCCCCACCCCCGCGCCTCCACTGCCCAGAAGACCACCTGCTTTGGCTGTCCAAGCTGCGACATCTGGCCCCCTGTCCGCGACGCTGGGAGCCCGGCAGGGTGGGAGGTTGCTGGTTGCTGCTGTCCATCCCGGATCCCGAGGCCGCCCAGAGCACGCCTGCCCCGCCTGCCTCCGTGCCCCTGGGCTGCCCTGGCAACCCGTACACCGGGCGGGCAGCAGCAGCCCGGACGCCCCGCCCCACCAGGCTCCCAGCATTAGAGACGCTGGGTGGACTCCATGGTGGCGGTAGTGATCTAGGCTAATCCAGGCGGTCCGCTGGACCGCAGCAGAGTCAGCACGGGGGCTGCGCCTTAGGAGCGCGCAGCGCCAGCGGCCCACAGCTCTGTGCCCCCGCGGAGGAGACAGCCTGCAGCGTGGTCAGACAGGCTCTTGCGCTGGGGAGGCGGCGAGCTCAGGATCCCGAGGCCGCCCAGAGCACACGCCGCCAGCTCGCCTAGGCGCCTGAGCTACAGCCCCTGTGCTGCCTCTGCCGCGGTCCCGCAGGCCGCCTGGATTGGCCGCCGCTGCAGCTGACACCACGGTGTCCACCCAGCGACTCTGATGCTGGGAGTCTGGCGGTGGAGGGTGCCGTGTGCTCTCCGGCAGACTCATAGCTGGTGGTGGAGCTGAGGGCCCTGGCGCATGGCGGGCAGAGACTTGAGGCCCGCAGGAGGAGGGGTCGGTGCGGATGCTGGCGGTGCTGGGGCAGCTTGAGAACCCGCGGAGGTGTAGGGGAGAGGGCGCGAGGCACCGGTGCGCAGGAATGCGGTGGTGGCAGGGTCCCAGACTGCTCAGCCTAGGACTGGCGGGATCGTGGGCTCCCAAGCCGAGGACCGGCTAGGGCTCCGCTACGGAGCTACGGAGCGAGGAATGGCTATGCGCATGCCGAGCTGCCTGAAGAGTCTGCGGGTCGATTGTGCCTGCTCAGGGACAAGCGCGATTCTCCTGCCTCAGTCTCCTGAGTAGCTGGGACTACAGGTGCCCGCACCACCATACCCGGTACAGTTTTTTTGT